AATGAACATACATCTCTTTGATAGTTTTCTCATCACTGAAATCAGTGTTAGAATGCTTGAAAAATTCCATACAAGTATAATACGCCTTATATATTTTTGAATGTTTAAAATAAATATAAAAAAATTCCGAAATACATTTTTATCACCATAATTTCATTTCAAATTGATAAAAACAATTTCAATTACTGATAGTAATAAATGTATATTTTATCATTGCTGAATTTTTTTTGCAGAAAATGATAAATGATTACAATAAATAAAACATTTCAATATTTTTATAAATGATTAAGGGCGTGACTTTGCCCATTCACTAACAAAGAAATCTTGTAATCAACCAAGAACTGGCTTGAAGCCAAGGCGCTCTTTAAGGCAATGCCTTCCTATGCCGGACAAACATCTTCAACATCCGGTAGTATATTTTCCTGCAAAGTAAAATGAAAAATTAAAGAATATAAAATACTACAGATGATGTTTCCAACAATCTAAATAAAATTATTATCAAAAATTTATTTCTTCAAAAAACTAATTATTTCTTTATTTCAATAATTTTAGTGCAATTTATCTGCTCACTGACCTGTTTTTCAATAACTTCTGAATTCAAGAGAAAATATTTAATTAATAGGAATATCGTTATAAGCTGACCACAAACTTCAAGTTAATACTAATTAGGAATATTTTTGAATGAATACTGACAACAGAATGCACTTGCTTTCTCTAGAGTAGAGAATTTCACAGAAACAATTATCTAGCCTACTATTTCACTCTGTGACAAACTCTGTTGTATAAATATAGAGTTGTTACTTGTCTTCGACAGAGACTCTATGCCAACTTTGTCAAGAATAATTTAACTTCATAAGTGATTTATTGAGCGATCTGTTCACTTTTGCGGTAAAGATATTGAAACTTTACCAATAAATTTATAGGAGCTTTATATTTACATAGAAAATTACTCATGTTATTTAACAATAAATCATTTGAAGCATTCAGTCATAACAAAAATTATACGTCAATTATCATTTTCAATCTACATATTCTTACCTCAGTCATACCATTATTTTGATGAATTAACATTCAAATAATTCTTCAATCTATTTTTGTCTTTCCTAGATCTTCCTAAAGTCATTTATTTTTTACTTCACTTGTTACTCATATGAGAATATTTTTCTTATGTAGTACAAAATTACATGAGTTGGAATTTTCATATGAGCACAAAAAGCTTGATGTTGGAAATCCAGCCCGAATATTTATGTCGAGAGTAGACGAAACATCTGAGTTAATACTCTTGAGGATGTATTTGCAACATAAATTAGCATTTTTCATCATCAATTATAAACTAAATTACATTAAGTTATGATTAGATGGTAATATCATGGAGAAGCTCAAAGAGCTTTATCTGACTCTCTGAATGTATAGCATGAATTGTTGAGATAGTTAGTGAATCAATACTCGATCTGGGAATACACCTTGGTTAGTCTTGTGATTTCCGTTTAAAAAGCACTCGAGGGAATGACAAGATATCGATCAATCGATTCAACAAACAGTCTTAGCACGTCCACGCTACTTTTAGATATTCTACGTGACGCCTCATTCATTCTATTTCTAATATACCACATCGTCTCTGGAATTTCTATCGCAATATCAAAGGCGAAAAATTATATATTAAAAGCTCTCAATGCACCTGATAATGTCCGACAAATATCGGAGGTTGCTCTTCAATAGAAAAAAAATTTTGTTTGAAGTAGTATTGGTTTTACTTTTTTTTTCTAAATAAACGAATTATTTGAGAATAATATAAAATAGGTGTTTCAAGAGAGATAGTACACGGTATTGTTGATAAAACATTAGATAACATATTTATTCTATTCTGAAAAGTGGTATTATTTAAGATCATGAATTATTAAACTCTTAGAGAGCTATGAATAATTATAACAAATTAATGCAGTGGTTAGAGATGTTATATCAGCACAAAGTAAATTCTTGGTAAATTTAAATAGGATTATTTTAAGTGAGATGTTTTTTCATACGTCGGTTATGTAATGATGATGATTCCAATTTTTACATTCTAAAATAATTCGGTAAGAATCTAAAGTAAAGAGGATATTCGATATATATTTAATAAATAAAGTGAACTATAAAGTGTGATTAACTATTGCCCGTACAGTAAGTAATCTCTTATTATTTACGAAGAAACTTCTCTAAATTTGATGGCCCTAATCTCTCTAATCTGCTCACTTGTTCATTGACTTGATATATTTTATTTAAGCTCATTAAAAAAAAATATATGTCAATAAAAAAATCAGTTTCTTGTTGAAATGCGAAGAATAAATTTATAAAAAATTAAATTTTTTTCATTTTAATTTCAAAATTTATTATTACTCCTCTTGAATTTCTAACAGTATATGATTTATTATAAAAAAAAAATAATATTTCACTTTTTTTCATTATTCATATTTCAAAATTCACTTGTCTATTTTTTCATTAACAAATGAGTCCTCACCACTCATAAAAATGATTACAAATTAGTTTTTTATTACCATTTTTTTGTAATTACTGATAACGATACAAAAATAAACACTACAAAATATACTTCTGAGGGCACTTATATATGACTAAACGTAATTATTTGCAAAAAATAATTAGCTGGAATTTCACTACAGAGTACTACATCATTTTCAACAGTACTTTGCATATTGACATACATTTGTTTTTTTTTCTCTATATTTTCTCTGTATGTCATAGAGAATGAACTTTTTCCTGTTTCAACAATATGAAATCAACAATGATAAGATGATATTAACCTTAATCTAAAAAACATATCAACATTTTTTTTACTTATAAATCAAAACTAAAAATATCATTAAAAATAGGGCCATTGTTAAGAAATGATTTTATTTGAAATAAATATTTTTAAAAATTTTCCACTTCTCAATCAATTTTGATTAAAAAAATACGTTTTAAATACATTAATTGGAAACGAGTTTGACATTCGGTTGGAGTTGATGTAAAAACTAGATTCGTAAGAGAAAAAACTCTTCATTTGAATACTAATCGTTTAAATTCAATTCTTACATTTAAAAAGCTCAGTAATAAAAAGCACGATTTTGAATTGATAATAGTGTTAAAAAATAAACAAACAGAAGCAAGTGAAAATAGGATAAACGTATACAGAATGACTTGACTTTATTCTTCTCTTTATCCATACTATTCTGTTGTTATTATCTTTATACTAATTATCATACCACTTCGTGGTCGTAATTATGTTAAAAAATTCTGGACTTTATAACCGATCCTCGTGTACTTTGACCATTTTTTTCAACACATTATGTTTCTTATCTACTTCATTTTGCACTTTACGTGCATCAGAAGTAAAAGCAAGCGCAGGTGTTATGTCTAACCATCTTTCTCTAGCAGTATAACCTTGTGAATAGTTCAGAAATGGATCAACCCTCTAGACGGAAATTTGCTCTCAAGACATGCAACTAGATACGTGCTAAATTTTCATGGAAAATCTGGCCAATAATAGTTCAACTGTAAACAGTACTGCAGACAAGTGCTGATGATATTTTAATGAGGAATTATTATGGGTTGGATAACTTCTAAATTACCCGAGATAAAATTTGATCTATTTCCAATGGAGTAGTTCGGTCAAGTGTAAATGAAACATTTACAACCATAAATATAAATAACTTGGTTATTTTAATTCTCTTCTTTAACTTGACTATACTTTTAATAGCACTCTGAATACATTTGCATTTAGATTCCTTGTTGTAGATTCTACAACAATCCTATGCTAAGAAAAACAAAAATGAAAACTAATAAAACTCAAAGGGAAAATACGTACATGTGGAAAATGAGAGCTTTCTCGTTATACTCATCTCAACTGTCCTCCTAACATGCCTTCCGGAACTTTAAAAACACTCCATTTTTGTTTTATACATTATTGCTATTCCTAGTCTGTTTTGCGTTTGTACAATTAATGTAAACATTGATTCAATTTTTCTCTTTTACACGCTAAGAATTTTTTATTACATTTTTCACTGTAGTTTAATCTATTTTTATCACGAATCCACTTATATATAAATGTTATCTTGTCTTGGTATAACACCATTTTTGCTAGGATATGCATCATTTTTCAGACTAAATGTATTAGTTGAAAAATTATTCACTTTAATGATAAGTAAATAGCGCAATGTTTTAGGTAATAAAATTTAAATGCCACAGTTATCAACCCTTATTGAATTATTTTAATAAAAAAGGGTAAATTTTATTTATAAAAGTAATTTAAAAAAAATGAAAAAATGTAGAGAATAGATAAATTTCAACTCCGAGTTTTCTCTAGAAAGTTTGAAGACTGACTAAAAAATTTTATCAAATTTTTGAAGTTAAAAAAATAAATAGCAGATGAATTTCAATGATCTAATATTCCAGAGATATTAATAAAAAATAAGAAAACTAAAGAAGAGTTAAATTAATCAGATGAATATACGATCGCTGCATTTGCATTTTAAAGTACTAGAAGGTCTAAATTTATAATATAATTATCATCTAAGCTGTTACTCATAAATTTAATAAATAAAAGATAATGTTAAAAATAGATTTGATCAACATTTTCTGCCTCATTATTGTTACTTTACATTTCAATCAATTTTGTTTACATATGTCGATTAGTCCGGGAATGTTGTTAGATTTTTCATAAAGCAGACGAGTAACCTTTGACCCAGAAAATCGGAACAAGGATACACACATGCATGTGTATTTCCTTCCTTCCTTCCCCGGATGCTCTATAAAATGAGAAGCCTCACCATAGCTCTAGTAGTTGCCTGCAAGTCCTGTGGGTGGCAGTAGGGTGCGCGTTGGTCCACGTCGATTGGTGCAGCTTGCACCGGTAGTAGGGAGGATGAAGCACTCCCTTCCTTCAATGTAATAACGTCATACTGAGAAGGGGGTTTAGAGATCGTCACAGGGGGAAATGACGATCGGTGAATGTGGGTGACCACGAGCGCAGTATCCACGCCGACACCGTGTCATTCGGCTGTTGTTATAGTGGTTAGTGTGTGAAACATCTTACGGCCTCGCCGGGAAGTTCGTCTCCGTCACAATTGAATTATCGTGCTTAAAACGTGCCCTGGTTAATTAATTACTTTTTTATTTGTTGGATTACTGCAAGTCGTCAACATCAACTGCCATAATAATTCATTTCAATCAGTATTTATTTTGTTGTATATTATACACTGAAGAAAAAATTTATTCAAGAAACAATACTTAATTTAATAATTGAAAATAACTATATTTATCTCAAAATTTATTTAATGCGAGAGATATTTTTGTTAAAAAAATAAAATTTTTTCTCAGTGTGAAATGAAAATTTAGAATAAATGAATGAGTAATCAGGTGTTATTGTTGAATAATTATTTGATAACTATTTAATTGGTGAATATTATTATTAAATTGTGCATTAATTAAAATATACAAACAACTTTGGCTATTTATTCAAAAGTTTTAGTTGAAAATATTCCACAATATTAATGATCTTTTACAAACTGTTCTAGAGTAAATAATGTCAAACGAACAAATTGGAAAAAAAACTTTTATATTAAATATTCCAATGTTGACAAAAAAAAAAAATAAGAGTTTACATTGGAAATTTTTTTCTAAGATAGTATTTTCTAAAAGATTGGAATTCATTTTTAAAATATTTTGAAGACTTTTACACTAATATAATTGGTTATTGTGCCACTTTCGATGCTGCTAATTAACATAATAGGTGTTAATGAAAACAAATGAAAGATAATAATAATAATAATAAGTAATACTACTTCGGTACGTCATTGCTATGTCAGATCTCGATGGATTGTATTTCAATTTGAGTTGTAAATAGTTTTCAAACTGCATCTAGCTTTAGTCAAAATACAAAACAAGCTTGTAGATGATTGAAATGGATAATCAGTGTACCTGGTAGCATTTCAATCATAATGCGGTGTTAAGATTAAAAGCTCATTAATATATTGCCATAGGCTAAGTTTCCTGTCAAGGGACATAATCTCTATCAATTAAATCTATTATGCTCTGCTTTTCATATTACATTCATTATTTTCGTTGACATACTGTTAATAAATATATTTATTATTCACCTCAGGTCAGTTGAGTCAATGTTGATAAAATAGGATTAGTTTTTATAGCTAAATAAAATAAAGTTTTATTACATTACATGCTCTTTTAAACTTCTACACAGATTTTTGAATTTTTATGAAGGATACAAGTAAAATGAATTTAATCGATTTATTCTAAAACAAAAAAACCAGTTGAAAATTTGATTTCTTTACTCAGCTAAATTTTTTTTAGTGATTAAAATTTTTTTTAGGGATTAAAATGTGTTAGTTGATAAATTAAAACATTAAAAGCTTTTAAATTCACTGTCTGCTCAATCAAAAAATTTTTCTTTTTATTTTAATGAATTTTTAGAGGATAGTTTTATTTTTGTCTCATTATGGAAAATCATTTTCCAATAATTAATTGAATAATAGCTTATAAATTCCCTCTAATAGAATTGAATTTCAACTCAAACAAATCAAATTACGTGAGAACAAAAGTGGTGACAGTCGAGATTGATCAGACGAATCATTTTGGACCATAGATAATTAAACCCATTTATATATATATACAAACATACAGATATAAGTTACCTTTTAAGAGTATATATATGTACATATACATATATACATATATACTTAACTGCAAACGACATTCTGAACAAGTGAGGAAATAGACAAAAGAAAAAGGAAGATCAATTGCTGAGATAAAGTAGAGAAATAGACCTCTGTAGAAAACAGAGAATTTGAAGCTTAGATAAAGTTACTAGAAATAAAAATGATCCACTCAAAGATGAAAGAGAGCAGTGTAGGTAGAAATACGTCAATATTAAAAACATTATAAATAGAATAAAAGCTATCACGTTAATTCTAATGTCATTCAAGAATGATAGATATTTTTTAGCTTTTAAAAAATAGGAAACAAAAAAATCTAAAAACTGCAATATTTAATGTTAAAACTAGGGAAAAAAAGGAAATAATGATAACATAATTAAAAACTCTAATGAGTTAGATATTCAATTACAAGCGTAATAATAATTTAATTAGATTTCTAAAAAGTAGGTCAAAGGAATTATCCTTCTAGGAGATAGGAAAGTTTTAAAAATAAAACAGCGAAAAAGTATCTAGTTATCGAAGGTTTAAACTATGATTGATTTAGTTGGATAAATTCTTCAGTTTTTTCATTCCTTTTTTCATTTTTTTCAACGACAGTGTTAATGACCCCTCATAAACTACCTAGAGGCACGTCGAGAGTTCCGTCGTGACACGCAGACAAAAAAGTGGACGGGGTATAAGGTATTCGCGGCTGTTCAGTCATTCTTTCTTTATTATCCCATCCTATAAGGTTCGTCTTTGGCTTCATCTTTTCTGAGCACGACCTGTCTTTCTTCAACTTGCATACTTCGACATTTTATCTCCCGAAATATTCTGCTCGCGGGTATACTCCAAAAGCACTTTCGTTTGTCTTATCTACTTGAAAATGACATACTCAAACGCACAAGAAATACTTTACAATGAATAGCCGTATCATGTCGCGACGAGATGATTTAATTCTAGAACCTGGTTTACTTATATTATCAAGACTAGAGGGTGCAGGAATGAGCCATGTTGCATAGTATAGAGACATGCCTCCAATTACAGTGACTTCAACTTTAAGTTATAAGCGTAACCCCCTCTTCAGACATTTTAATTAATGTCAGGATAATGAACAATAGTCTTCATTATTCTTTGGCTTTTCTTTGATAATGTTTTTTTTTGAGAACTTACACTCTATTTTAAAAGATAAATGTTTTTAATTAGTTAAAGTATTACTGTATTAACGAATCTACATCTCCTTAGTTGGTCGAAATTGTTTAAACAAGTTTCAATGTCCATAGTAAGTTTACGATTTCTTAGAGAATTAAGGGAAGTTTCAATTTTTTGAATCCAAGTTCGTGAACTAATTACAAACTTGGCTTGTAACAATAAGCAAGTTTCTGCTTTTAGGAGAAAGAAAGAACAATTATTTTTTCAAGTACCATGATTTAAAGATAAAAATCATGGTCTTTTAACTTACTGATTTCTTTCAGCCAGATAAAAATAGTATTCACGTTAAGGTAAAATTTAATTCTTGGTTACCGTTATTACTTAATTGTTATTCTTTATTCTCTATTATTTATACAAGTAGTTTAAGCTTGTTTTCTGCTCAATAAAACTTTGCTCACAAATGCATTGTTCTTAAGTTAGTGCAGTTGCTTAACCGAAATTACTTCATTTAATAAATTCAAACTTTTTATCATAATTCTTTAAACTTTAGTTACACAAAATAAAGTTAAATATTCAACGATTTTTAATAATAAAAATTAATTTAAAAAATTTATGCTTCGTATTTTTCTTTACAATGTAGAAGCAAAAAATTAAAATAAAAATCTATAAATGCATTTTATTAAAGGTGCTCTTGGCTGTTTGGAAAACGTTTGGAACTTTGAGTAATAATTTGTTGAAAAGTTATAAGCTCTGCAAGTGAATAAAACAACTTTTGCTTTTATGATGAATTATTACAAAACGAAAATAGAATTAATTGAAAACAAAATCAAGAGAAATATATAAAATGGTTTTTAATACTTTTCTGCCAATAATCGTTTTAATTCGAGTCAACATGTCTAAAAGTATATTTATCAACCGGACATGTATACTTTCCCAAAGGAAATACGAACTGAGCAATAAGTGTTGAATTCAACACATAACACCCGGATGTACCTACGGATATTCAGACGCCAGACGTCATCGTAGTCGTATGTTCATGTACGTTACGACAAGTCAACTTTGCACTTTACGAGCTCTGGCTCGCCATTCTTCCGTTTCTCTCTATAAGCCAAAAGCCCTAGACAATCGCTGCAATGCTTGCTACGTTAGCTAGTTCAATTTTACTGGGGAAGTAGTCTTGAGAGATTCAATAATTCATAGGCTTTAGAATAAGAAAATCAAGAAAAGTATTTTCTATTGTCGGTGCATTTTACGCTTACTTTATAGATTTTTTTCATCGTTCATACATTAATCAGCTCTGTGGTTTAATGGAATGTTGAATTTAGATGATAAATTTGAGAAAATGGGCTACGAAATTTGCTATCCTGCTATTTGATAAAAAATTTAGGTCTACTTTTAAAGTTTTTTCACTTTAAAAGTAGTGAAAGCTCAATAGTTTATGTGAAACACTTAGACAAGAGAGTATTCTAATGATGAAAACATTCAACTTGACCTACTTCAACATTCCTCCAGTTCAAAATTTAGCAGATCGGTTGAGGAAAAATTTTCAACAAATATTCAGAATAGATTATTGAGTATTAAAAGCATATGTTAATAAATGGATTTGTGTTATTCATCAAGAGTTTTGTGAATAAAAATGTATGATCTTTTTAAACTTACTCTTTTTTTGAAAGATGATTCATTCACTCCAACAGAAGACAAAAGATAAATCAATTTATTAATGCTACTTTGCCTCAACAATTTTCTTTAATGTACTGTTGAATGATAATTTTTTTATATTTCTAAAGGTCTTTAACATTTGTATGATTCTCTGAAAACATTGGAAATTGTTTACTGATTTACTAAACTTTTCTCTTAAAATTTTCTTCTTTAAATCTTCCATCGCTAATTAGAGCTTTATTGTAAAGAGTTTTCTTTTCAAATGATTGATTTTTACTAATAATCATTAAATAATTATGGTACTTAAACATTTTCATGCAACATTAATTTTTCTTTAAGACATCTTACAGAGAAAAATTCCTCTATTTTTATTGCTGCTTGAATCATTTAAATCAATTTCTATTTTCAATGAGTTTTTTAAGTGAAGAAATATCAACATGAAATCACTGTAAATTTGAGTGTTTTATTTTAAAACATTAAAAGTGTTTTATTATAACGTCACCCATTTGATTAACATTGTCTCAATTTTAAAATACTTAAAAACGTTTTAAGATCAAGACAATGTTAATCAAATGGGTAACGTTATAATAAAACACTTCTTATGTTTTAAAATAAAACACTCTAATTTACAGTGATGAGTAGAGTGATAATAAATTGATGAAACTTTTTAGGGAGAAATTTTGGAACGTGTAATATGTTGGATGTAAATAAATTTCAGATTCCATAGAAGAATGAAAAGTTATATTATCAGAAAATATTTCTTCTGCTTCATAATTTTTCTCTGTTTCGCTTCCTCACACGAGAGTTATTTGAATATAAATAAATGAAATAATAAAAATTTTTTTGTCTGAGCAGATTAAAAATATTCTACTAAATTTAATTAAATCCAAGAACGGCTTTATTGATTAACTACTGATGAAGTGTTTGAGTCTGCGACAAGCAAGTGAACGTGCAAACAAGAAAAAGCGGAAGTGATGTAAAGATGGAGTAGGTAGAGTAAGGGGTTGATTCAATAAAGTCTAGTGGGCATCGCTAAAATCATGAACGGCTTAGTAATTAGATTCACTTTAATAATACCGTTCGTTAAACGTTTTCCCAAATAGTAGAGGTTACTTAAGCCCACTTAACCCAATTTCATTGGCGAATTTTCGCTCTATAACTTTGTATTTCGAGCCTCCGGATAGAAATCGAACTCCAATTTCTGCTCCCAAGAGTTACCTCAAGTTCTGTAGGAGTCTGTAGGCATTTACGCAGGATCGAATAATGTGTTATAGCAAATGTGTTTGATATAGTAATCCAATTGAATTAGCGACAAATACAAGCTTTCACATTGTTATGATTAAAGGATTATTCAACATAATATTAATTCAGATATCACTTTGATAAATTTAGATTCTGTTGCGTAAGTGTGGAAACGAAAAAAAAAATCCTTGAAATTAATTCTATCATTTTCATGTTAAAAACTCAGCTAACATTTGTTTCTTCCAGTTCACGTCAAATCCGGAAAAATTCAAGTGTTTAGTGATGAATCACTTAAAGTGTTTAATAATTAAACACCTAAGTGTTTACAATGTTGATTACCATAAAAGAACTATAGCATTTTGGTAAACGGCAAAAAGCGTTTAAAAGCCGACTACACAATTGCCATAATTCGTTTATGATGTTTAACATTGCAAACGTAATAAGTGTTTAGTTTTTAAACACTTGGGTTTGCAGTTTTAGTTTTTTTTAAAATTTATATTTCGCAATTAAATAGTTTTTATTAACTGATGACCTAATTTTTCCAGTTAATAATTTTCAGTTGCGTTTAAAAAAAGTCAAGAGTCATTGAAAAATAAAAATATCTCATTCATCCTTTTGTTAAAAATGTTTGTTAAAATTTTTGATTAAAGGTGCATTGTTTTATTTAGATCAACAAAAAAAGTCTTTTGAACAAAAATAAAAATTGTTCTATTGTACTGCATGTTGTTTATTGATGCAACAATAGCAAAGTCATCATTATTGATTTATAGTAGTTGACTTATAATAATTATTTCAGCACTCATCAAGATTTGTAACATTATAAAGATACATTTCATAGAACAGTATAGGGGAATGTCAACTGAGATATTCTAGAGTATATAGGATTATTGAGGGCAATAATAACGTGCCTGACAAACCATTTAGCCAAGCAACATTCAATCAGGTCAAATGCCTGAGGATAAATCAAAAAATGATGAATTCTTAAAACTCTTAGAAAAAATTTTTATTGGTACTACAGTAGCGAATAAGTTGATTTAAAAATCTGTTCCAAAGGCTTTTCAGCTTCTTTTCTACATAGAAATTTATTTTATCAAAATTCCTGTTGATTAATTGAATGAATAAATAACTAGAAAAAAATTTCATTCACTAAATTTCATTAGGTAACTCCAAAAGAAAAAATAAATGAAATCACCGAATATCGATATGAAATACAAATAAGCATTTTATCAATTTCATTTTATAAATAAATCAAATTTAAATTATTATTAAAATTTTGTTAAAATGATAATTCTAACTATTCAATATCCTTGATTTTATTTATTCATGGATCCAATATATATAAAAACTTGAAAAAATATTTGTTTGTATAGCAATAAAAAAATTTTTTGATTGGCAGAAAAATATTCATACAGTTGAATGACTTACAGCAATTTCTCTCTTTCAATAAAACACGCGTAAAATATTGAGCTTCAGTAAAAAATGTTCTTCATCGTTCAAATATTCGATTACTATTCATATACTATATGAATCTTCACGGAGTATATTTCTATCTACTATTAAAAACAATATCTATCAAAAAATATTTTTTTAATTCTTCAAATTATTCTTTATTTTTACAGAATTCAATTCTGTTATTGGTAATGAAATTCAATGAAATTAATTCAAGTTTAAATACAGCTGCTTCTAATGTTATACTGACACACAGAATCCAATAAATGTAGTAGTGGTATCGAGACAGAGCTAAAAAATTCATCGACAGATTACCCCTCTTCAATTGAAGTGATTAAAAACCTACCGTCTCAGTATGGACCTCTATGAACATGAACAAACAAATTACAGATCAATTATTAGCCCAAAATTACTTTCTCACTAATCAAATATTAATTTATTAACTACTAATAAAACAAATTTTAGAACTTTTTTTAAACAATTTTAGAACTACCCTAAAATTTTCCAAAATAGTTTTAGATGTCGATTTATCATTATATTGGATTGACAGGAGGTCTTTTCTTATTAATTAAAAGTCTTTTCTTATAAATTAAATTTTTTATTGACAATATTATCATAAATTTTTTAGCTATTTTAAGCTTTAAAAAACTTATAGTAAACCTGTTACTAGTCAATAGTTTGTTTGCTTTTGTTGTATGACAAATACTGAATTATTGAATAATATTTCTTCAAGTAAAAAGTATTTTTTCAATGGGGAAAAATCGTACAAGTTTTCTGTATCAAAGCTTCCTTCAGTGAATTAATAATATTATTCTGCTTCTGATATATTCGTGTTCATCTGCCACTGTTCCAACATAAGAAAGGAATGAACAAATCGATGGGATAAGAAAGGACGACTCACATAGAAAAAAGCGAAAATAACTCTTCTTACTTACACATAAGAAAAACATCAGTATGCTGAGGAACAGTGGGTCATATACCTCCGACCTCATGACCTCGGACTAGTTATTTAAACATTATCCTCTGCGTAAGAATATGTACATAAGAGTAACAGTTAGATAGACAAGGGTTGTTGAATTCCCTACTCTGTGCGTACCCTTTTCTGTGTGTTCATGTACGTGTATCTACCGTTTCTAACATCACTGAACCTTCTGTAATAGTCTCTTCTACTAACGGTTAGCAACTAACCTTCTATCCTCCTGAAAGCTCCTATTATTTATGTAATATTCTCTATACAGTGAAACTTACACATCAAGCAAACACTTTTGCCATTTTACATCCTTAAATTAAATTATGCGTCACTGAGCTGTTCAATAAACCTTGATGGAAATTCTACTTCAAGAAGCTGTGAGTTATGATCGTCATTACAACATAAACTTTTTTTTATTGTAAATCGTAAAACATTTTTTATTGGAGAGTTATTTTTTATTAACATTTTCTAGAATTCAGTACTAAAATTTCTATAAATCATATCATCGATATATATATATATATTGCACTGTTTACATTTTCTTAGATTAAACTATTTAAACGGCTCCAGGCATTTCGATCTAATTAATTATGCAGTTGTGTCAACTCCTTAAATAATATAATGCATTTTTTAGAGGTTGTTTAATGATTACTTTATTTTCCAGATTTTCAACATTTTTGTGACTTAAAAATTTTTAATTAAATATCCATGATGATTTAATATTAATTTAACTTTCTAGAATAGAAGAAAAAAAGTTTAATTCAATTTTTTTGCTCCTCAGTGTTTCTCTTGGAAAAGATATCATTGTAAAATTTTTAATAGTATTTTGTGATGTATGTTCTAGTGTAATAAGAATTAAACAAAAAAATTGGTAGAGAATTTTTATTTGTTTGGTTTATAATTCGTAATTAATAGAAGCTTAATCAAAGTATGGAAGAATATAAGGTAATTAAGGGTGCTCATATCACGGAGAGTTTTTCTTCACGAAAAGAAAACGTGTCATTTACATCAGCAAGGTGGTTAAGTATATGTCTGCCATATGAAACATAAAAGAGGACACAGAGCGATTAAACACTAAGTACACAAGGCCTTGAGTTTAGTTCACGTTGCAGCTTTTATATCATACTCATTGCTTGAATTATTGCATATGGAGCGAATAGAAGATTTTCATTTTTTTTTTTTTAATGAAACTTTTTTCATCTTAAACTTTTTCTATTCATCACACAAGAACTTTAGAAAAAATTTTCTTGTATGTTAAGTTTGACGACAAAACATAATTTTATTAGAATATATTTTTTCTAAAGAAGAAATTGCAAAAACTAAATAACGAGAAAAAAGTTCACCACATGCAAAAAATGGAATAAATTGTTTTAAAATTATTTTAATTATATTTTATTGTCATTGTGTTTGTGGAGTATAGAATTCTAGGGTTTTTTAAAACTTTATATAATGAGTTTTCAGAATAACTTTTATATAGTGCAGTAAACTATTTAATACTTGCTCTTCCTCTACTCTATATTTTGCCATAGTTTAGTTCAAGAGTCGAACAAAGTGTCGTAGAATATCACGGTCTGATTCCGTTCGATTCAATTACGCGAGCGCAATAAAGATCAACTATGATGCAATCAAAAGACAAAAATAGGTATTAATTTACTCAAAGAGTTTAATCACCAAAATTATTTTTTCGTAGGAATAATAATCTCGGGTGTGGCACAATGATCTATTTATATTTTCAAATAACAGTACATCAATAAAAAATTAAAATTGACTTTAAAACGTTTTAATACTATATTATTTATTGAAATTATTAATTAGTATAATTCCCATTTATCGACATCGCTTCAAATACAAAATATGAAATGATTTTGATTCAATTAATTAATATTCAAGTTTAACTTCATATATTACCTGCCATTTACTGTCAAGTTTTCATTTTAATACAAACAATATCACCAATTTCAATAGAGTAATTCTATTATTATATTTTTTTATATTGAATTTGATAAATGCTTATTTTCGGTCTTTCATCAGAAAAACTGAAACAAATATTACCACATTCATTTATAGATTAAAAGTACAAACTGTATCCGAAATTATATATTCCAAAAGGAAAAATGTGCAGTAAGTGTAGTGAGTGCTGTCAAGGTTCTAGGCACAGTGTGGATGCAAGCTCCACCCCTGGATCTGATTCAGAGCCATCAGGTAACTTCTAGATAAAAATAAACTGAATAGTAATTTATTCAAAGCTATTGAATAATGGTGATATGAAAATAAATCAACAAGTTTATTTTCTTGCAAAATATTCACAGTTTTGAAGTTGAAAAAATGGGACTCTTGTGGTTCATCTTAGACTTATTTGCGCTGTTAGGTCTCCATCCTCTGTAGACTCTTTTACCTACTAAATCTTAATTTTTATATCCCTAGTGATCTTTCAAGTTTCAAACTTTTAAAATGTATAAACTTGAGTTTTTCTTTAGATACAATGTAGAAGATAATTAAGGAAACATTACTTTATTTTCATCAGATATGGATTATGTATATTCAATACAATGTATTTAAAAAAGTGATCACATCGACAAAAATAACTTAATCCAATAAAAAATAAATTTATAAGAATCATGATAATAAAAATTGGTAATTACATTAATTATTTTATTTTTTGTTACAGAAGAAGAATGGAATCCAGGTGGTAAAGGTCGCCAGTCCAATGATACCGGTAAGTTTTTGTATTTTTTTTATTAGCAAGAAAAATAAAATCGATAAAAGATGAAAACAAAACGATCAATAGATCAAATGAATTCTCCAAAGTAAACTCAATCCACCATATAGTTTCAATATTTCAAATACAAACGAATAAAAATTTAAACAGTTGAACTGTTTATCCGGACGTACAATCAGTACATAAAGTGTTTCATCCTGAATGTACTAACCATAATGATAATTATGATTATTAATAGACATGGAACAGTAGTTAACGTTAATGAAGTATAATTAATCTAATCAATTATATGAATAATGATTTCAAGGGTCACTTAGTTTGTCTTTTGTGTATCTTTATATTTCTTTCCTTTCTGATATTTCAAGAGTGTGATTTAATTTTGATGAAAAACTTTTTATCTAAAAGATTGCTTTTTAAATAAAATATTACGATGCTGTGAAAATTTTTGTAAATAAGTCAATTCCTTGTAGCAAGTACTTGTGATAGGATATGAGAAACGCGTGGAAATTGAAATATAAAACTTATTTCCGACTGTGAGGAACTTTCTTTTCCTACATGATTTCTTCAGCTATAGATTTTAATCGGAAAAAAATCAAGTTCAATATTGAATCAGAGTCCAATATTAATTTTAAAATTTAATATCTCTCGAGTGATATTTATTTTTAATATTTTACAGTAATTTATAAAATAAAAAATTTAATCGCCTTAGAATTTCTTGGTGACTTTCAAGAAAATCGTGTTTATCACTCAGTCTCATTAGACGCTTCCGCTTTCCGATATGGATTAAGTGTGCTCATATTGTACACCTGAATTACATTATCCCAATCCTTCTTTATTATTCGTTACCTTTAAAAAAGTTGAGCTTTTTTTAATAATCATTTTTTTATCATCACTTCAATAAAAAGTTACTTTAAAATCATCATGGTCTACATAATGATCTATTCTTCTGCTCTTTTATTAACTTAAATCTTTAAAAAATTCTTGCACAAACTTTTAAAAGAATTTCCTGAGAAATCCTTGAAATGTTATTATTTCTGTTTAAACTTTTTTCAGTGTCTATTTCTTTCATCATCCTTTTTTATTTGACTTCAAATGGAATATTTTAAAGTAAACTATATAATTCAAGTATGAAGTTGAAAGTCTTCATACTTTAAGAATTGGTCTTTCATGTTTTGACATTTGATGCCACTTATGGTTGAGTGCGTTAGGAGCTTAAACTTAGCCCTCAGAAACGACGTGGTCTTTGCTGGGTTTCCAGGATTAAGTTTCTCTCTCGAGGAAGGGTTTTGAAATCGATACCATAACACCTGCATCATGGCTTAAAGCTAAAGAAGACATATTACACATAACCATCACGTTCTTACTCTTCAAAGTATTTAAGAGCATGTAATTTCATTACTTTCTTTTCGCTCACTTGACTCTTTGCTCTCCAGAAGTGATAGAAGGAAAAGAAGCTTAACGTGATGCTAAGTACGCGAAAAAAATAATAGCAGAGTTTTTTTTAATTTTTTCAATTTATGAATGCAGTTGCGGTTTTACTAGCTTTGTATTTTAATTTACTACGGCATAAACATATTTCAAATGAATGCTATCATTTTTATTAATTGATAAAAAAGCCATGCAATCATTTTAGAGCAATTTTTCAATAAATATTGCTAAAAATAATTTACTTTCATCGAATAAATCTACTATATTTGTTCAATAATCAATAAATAACAACAACAAACAACACAAGGACAATTCTGAACAAATTTGCCAAGTATTTATAGATAGTACTTTTTTAAAAACATGCTATTGATAATAAGGTATGAAAAATTTATGTATTTTTATGCTTTGAAAAAAGTATGAATTTCTTTACTGAGAAAAAACTTACAGATAATGAAAAAGTATTTTATGACTATATTACTTTTTTATTTAATCCTTCTTTTTTGAACTCGTTTCATAAAATTGTAAAATGTACACTCTTAGTTATTCTAGTTATATAGTAGAACCTAGTTTTTTTCTTTAGTCTTATCCAGATGGACGAATTAAAGTGAAATTAGTGATGCATAAAGAATTTCATTTTTTACCATGTTACTCCGAATTATTCAAGGAATTTTAGTACTACAAGACTGCAAATGATTCTTCATTTTTTCTGTCTCTAGTTTTTTTAAAAAAATTCCTCAAATTGACTATTTATATACTTTAAACAATTGTCATTTCTAAAATAAAACAAAGAGTTGCTAATTTAAGAATTTATCAATCATCGAGTCAATGTTAGTTTTTTTTTGCAATTCACCAAGTATTATTCTTTGGTTGGATAAATTAATTTTCGAAGGAAGGAAGAAATTGAAAAAAAAAAAACCATCTTTTTTGGGCATGTTATATCTCAAGGTAACTTACAGCTGATAAAGTTTTGAATATAAATCCCTCAGCCATTCTTGAGTTACTCAAAAAAATGTAAATATTATTCAAGAGAAAAAGTTCCATTCTTATTCCCTACGGTGAAGAAAACCTACAACTCACTTTGTAATAAAAAAAATTTTGCATTTTAAATTTAAGGTTTCTTTCAAATTTATCTTTATCAACAGCACACAATACATCTTCATTACAGGAATCTGTGCTGATCGATTTATCCCTGATGGTTAAGTAATCCTTTACCTCTGTTTGATAAAGCAGATTTCTTTTGACCAACTAAACTTTGAAAAAATAATCCTAAAAAAATTGTTAAAAATTATTTTATTTTGAACAAAGGATGTTTTTTTATGATACCGATTTGAATTGAAGGAAATTCGAAAAAGTTTGTTCAAAGTTATCTCTTAATCGCAAGATGGCATTTAAATCAGTGACAGTAGTGCCTCTAGCGGATGCCGGGCGAAATGACCGCGGTCTTTTAAATAGCTGCTCTATCGCCACACCCTACTAACGTGCGTTCGTGGGGAAAGGGCACGAGGGTTGCGTCTGGCGCTGCTTTCTCCGGCACAAAGCGACGCCGTGAGGGTGGTGTCACGCGGCGTCACAAAGTTGAGATAGACGACAGTCTGAGAATTAATCAGTGACTTGAACTCAGTGTAAGCAATATTAAATCATCAATAAAATTTATCTTATATTCTCAACAGCTCCAAAATCTCATGTTTCAAGTGTTTTTATTCAACTACTTATATTCATCCTAATCACACATTTGACTGTTCATTGATATGCCACGACTCGAAGCGGTCGAAGTGTTAACTAATATTGATTGTAAAACAACGATAGTTTTTTTGGCATCTTGGTTTCGACAGTAGTGCACGCGCGATCATCGAACGCACAAGTTAGATAGAATCGAGTGTAAAGAGTAACATAACTTATGAAACTTTTTTATCTGTGCTTTTAATAGAACTCCTAACAGTGCTTCGATTGTATATAATAAACCACATTTGATGCTTCAAGTGCTCTTTTCGAATCTCTCTGGATTTATGTATTTTTACTCCGAAATTGTAAATTAACGCGAAATGTAAGTAAGACAGAATATTATAATCAGACCACAATAACTCATATACGTAGATATAAAATTTTCGATGATTTTTGAGTGATATCACGTGTCAAAAATAAATAAAATAAATTTCTTATCTCGGTTTTTTAAAAATTGAAGAATAGAAACCACATGTTCTACAAACATCCCTCGATGTTTAACCACTAAAGGTAATTTAAAATAAAAGAAAGAAACAAACTGGGGATGCTCCTGAATAGACGGTGCGAGACAATGCACGTCAGTGTACGGAAGTATCAACGACGATGAGTGAGTGCATTGAACCTTGTAGGACCTCCCAACCCTTTGGTGTCCTTGAAATGGCGGACGTCAATGTGACTGAGGCAGATCTTATTAAAATAAAACAAAAAAAAAATCCCGAGAAATAATCAATTACTCTAGACATTTCTCTGTTTAGATAACTCAAGCGTAACACATATTTTATACTTTTATTTTATCTCAACTATTTTTTACCACGTATTTTCTTTCGAGCGAAACATAACTGCCAGACAGTCTCAAATGCTTTCGTGTCTAACGTGCACTCTCCTCCCTCAGTTCGAGAGCAATATAGATTTTTTTATCCGTCGTGTGTATAAAGCATGATGAGAGCAAAAGACTCACATGCACACAAACCTTTATAAAGTCTGAACCTTGCTACTATGTATGTGTAAGTAAGTAAGTTGAGATTGGTATTTGCGTTTTACAGGACAAAAAGGGAATGCGGCCCTCGTCTAGTCAGACGGGAGGCTCACCCTTCTTTTTCCCTTCGTCTTCACCCAGACATCCGTTTTCTTTCTTGAGAAATAACCCACGAATCACCTGCGGTTCGAGTACGATTAGAAACCTTTTTCTTCAACTTTTTTCGTTTTTTGAGTCTTCCTTTCTTACCTATTATCATTATTATAATGTTTCGTAAAGACGAAAACGTTTGAAAGACACTTAACTTAGTACTCTCTTAACTCTCCTATTAATTCTGAGAGACTTATGCACAGAATTATTCTCAGCAGTTTCCTTTTGAGTATCGACTAAATTTCTGTCAAGATGCTGGAGCCTCTGTTATATCGTGTATTTCAGTTGGAAAGAAGAAAATTACCATTTTCAAAGGAAATTCTTCATAAAATTTTAATCAAACACCTTTTGATGAAAAAAAAAAAACTTTTCTATACAAATTTTCGTTGAATGGATTTATTCAAAGGACTGTAAATTTGATAGATATAAATGAGACTAAAATTATTATTAGAGTTTGAAAATTATGCAAAAGTTGTCATTGCTTTTTATCAAAATCACTCCAAACTCATGCAATTAATTGAATGATTGAGTTGTACGTGGAAGAAATGATTGATACGAATGAAATGCAAAGTTTTGTAGATCTACTAGTTAAGCAATTACCTTAATGATATTTATTTACTGTGAAATGATTATTTTTAACATACCTATAAATTATCTTTAAACATTTATCTATTTGTATTAAAATATATGATTTATTTAAATATTTAATAAAAAAAATAAC